TGCACAGCACCGTTTGCGTAAGCATCTCAGGAACGCAGGGACCCACTCGCGTGAGTGCTGTGGGCACTCATGGCTCCACTCCACTAAGTAATTTTGATAGATATATAGATATAAAATTAGGAACATCTAGATTTTATATATACATATCAACTGACTGAGACCCTGTTGAACTTGTCATAGGAGAAAGTGTTCCACAGCTGCAACCTCTCCCATCAGTTTCCTCTAGAAAGGCCCAATGGCTAAATTTCATCTCCTTGTTTATCTGAATGCATTGCAGGAGCCCTTGAAATCAGCAGATGTAGAAGGAAATGCAATGTCCTAAATTAAGCCACTTGTCTGGAATGGTATAGGGCCTCTATTCTGGAATAGCCTAATCCATTCTGGAACACTATACCATTCTGGAACACTATACCATTCCAGCCACTTGCCTGGACTGGTATAGAGCAGCGTGACCCGACAAAAGCGCGAACGTCATAAGCGCGCCGACAACACTGCGGCGCTAAAACCGCGATGTCAAAAGCGCGCTGACCACAGCGCGCTGCCCACAGCGCGCCGACAGAAGCGCGATTTAATTTAAGGTAAGATTTACAGTTAGGTTTAGGGTTAGGTTTAGGGTTAGAGTTAGGTTTAGGGTTAGGTTTAGGTTTAGGGTTACGTTACAGCGTGCTTCTGTCGGCGCGCTTTAGGGCTAATTAGTCGTTGCGCGGTTTTGTCACCGCGCTTTAGACACCGCGGTTTAGTCAGGCGCGCTTTTGTTGTGTGCGCATTTGTGGTGGAACCTAGAGCAGGGGTATCAAACTCACATCGTCACAGCATCGTCATGTGACATATTGTGATTTCCCCCTTTTGCTAAACCAGGCATAGCCATGGCCAGCGCATGACGCATCCAGCCTAGGATAGTATAGGGTCTTCTGCTTGTGCAAATGATTGGACTAGAAAACCTCCAAGATCCCGTCCAATGCTGTTTTTCTCTTGTTAAGCATCCTTTAGCAATGGAAAAAAAGCCAAAATACAGTGAGCCCAGTGGGTTAAGAGCAAATCTGTGAATTCATCCTCTGCCATATACAGTGCATATACAGTAGCCGTGTCCCACAATGAACATTACGGTTGTTGCTTTATTCGGCAACTCTATTAATGATATGGTTTAGGTGCTTTGGAAGATAATCCAACTGACCAAATATCACATCAAGCATTATCAAGTCGAGAAAAACGTGACTTTAGTGCCAGCCACCTTGAGCCTGAAATACCCTGCTACGAATCATAAGTTAGTACCAATTATTGTCCTATCAAGACATAAATACACAATAATAGGTACAAAAAGTATCAATGCATTACATTTTAAACAAAATGAAACAAAACAGAATATCGTTTGCTTAGAAATATTGTAACTTGTTAGCTGGATAGGGAAGAAAGTGCTTCCATTTTTAGCAAGAGCAGCTAAGGAAACACGTCACACTGGATTACATGCAGCGTGATAGGTGTAGGAAAAATGCATTTACTTTGGGCCTACAAAGTCTTCTGAGGGGAAACCTGCATCCCATCGGCTCATCTTTTGCTCCTTCTGCTGCAACTGATTCTTCATATATATTTTTTGAATGTGGATATTCACCCAACTGGCTACATTACTCTTCATTTTCCTGAAATGTGCTTAGAAAAGGCACTGATAAATCTATCACACTCACAATTACAGTTGCTTTTTCTCATAGAAAAGCAAAAGCGAGAAGAGAGAACGTCGCCTGCCAATAAGAGAGTACGTCGCCTGCGAAGTCTGCAGCCATTCCTTTAGTCCATAGAACTAAGAGGTTGATTTCAGTTCTGTAAAAAAGCAGATCAAAGCTGGCAAGAGGCATGAGGCCATACTGTTGGAGAAACACGAATTCATTTTCTGCTTTATTTGATACAGGATGCACAATTACATATATAGTTGAACAAACTGCAAGCGATTATATAATGTTCCCCTCTCCCTGTTAATCAAATCTATTAGATTAAGGAAAGCCTACCAACCTCTTGCCATACCAACTGCCATATCCATGATTCATGTCCAAGAAAATATATTCCACTTTTGCACCACTCTTCCCAGCTATTGAACTGGGTTTTCTTTTTCTTGCCCATCTCTTCACCTTCATAGCTAAGAGATGTCATGTTCCAAAGGCATGGGTCTTGCTGGCTGCATAATTTCCAGGGCTGTCATGAACATCCAGCAGTTTCTAGAACCTCAAGCATCCTAATACATTCCATCAGTCGTGCCTGTTTTGTACTCAGTTTTAATCCCCACCTCAAATAGTCAAAGAGGCTGAATTTAGCTGCCATGTTCATTTCCCCACAATGCTACCACTTTGAGGCATTGTGAGAAGTTAAAAAAAATGTAGCTTAGAAAGGGCTGTGGCTTAGTTTCTAAGAATTCCCAAGAATGACACTTTTATCAAGGCAGAATGAAAACAGTAAAATGGCAGCTATGTTCAGCCATACTTTGCTGAGGTGAATCCACCAGGAAGCCATTGAGAAGGTTCACCAGAGAGCTGTTGGCCAAGATCCCACTGAATCCTAGAGTATTCCATTTAAATAGCCATCTACATATAGCCCTAATAACATGGGGGGGGGGATTAAATCAGAATCTTAGACTTTTCACCTTTTTCAAGCTGGTATACAATATTTTCGTTCATGTTATTCTGACACAATCATGTTGGGCAAATTTGTTTTGGAGAGTGATTGGCCTCATGTTACCGAATGATTAGAAGATTGCAAATTTGGGTATTTGAATTTGGGACCACTCCAATTCTAAATAAAAGCTCCCAGCGTAACAACAATAGTTTAAGATCTTACAATTTGCTATGCTATAGGAGACTTCTGCTTGTATTTCTTTTTAAACTCTAAGCTTGAAAATCTTAGCATGAGTTCTACCACAATGAATATTTGTTTTTTGTTTTTTTAAACTTCTTCTTTCTTCCCGTCAATGGAAATCAACCTGGGTGGGATTAGCAATAGAGTTGACTACGAGCTATCATTTAAAAGCTTATGTAAAGTTGTGCTATGGTTTTTCAAAGTCCTGAACTGAATACAGACTTCATTTCAATTGATGAACAGAGACTCTGCAATTCCACTTTGGATTTCAAATGCTTTTCAATGCAGAACACATTTCCCAATGTTTACATGTCTCCTCATGTTCTATATATACAGTTCAACTTTCAGTCAGACACAGGAGCATAATCCACTGAGTTTCCAGCGCAAGCTGCACGGAAATGAATGGCGGGTATGTGCAAGAGCACCTCTGTGATTTGTGTCATTCCCAGTCATGTCAGTGGGGCTTGCCTTGGACATACACACTTCATCATTGGAGACAAAACAAGAATAGATTACCCTTTCACAAACACAAAGGAAATGCAGTTTTAATTAACCCCTGTCAGAAATCCATCGGACTTTGTCAATTCACACTGAAAGATACACATTTTGCAATACTTTTGAAACATCTGTCAAAAGTGACCCAATACATGGCTAAATATATGAAAGATTTGTTTCTCATTTGCCAATGCAAGGCAAAAAAGAGGGGGTGGGGGGGTTTGGGTACAAGGAGAGTTGCACCAGTTGATATTGTTTTAAAGGTTTGTTTTTAAATACGGTTATTGATTGTCCTCCATGCTTCAAATGTATACTTTTGAACTGAGATTGCTAGATAATTTCTCTAAATGGTTATTTTTACATGCGCTTGCTTTCTTGATACGAAAAATGTTTATTTCTTTGAAAGGTTTCTACACAAAGAATCTGTTTTAAAATATATCACACAGAGCTTTCTATTGATTCATTCTTTGAAATAAAAATATTTTCCCTGAATATTTTTTTTCAAATTTGTTTATTTTTATTTACCATTTGTGCTGATGATGGACATGACACAAAACCTGTAACATAAACTAGTGAGGGGACTTGGGGTGTACATGACTAGCTTGCTTCTTTTTATTCTAGTTGGTGTAAAACTTAAGCATAAATGCAAAAAAAGAGACAAGCTTGGAATCCCAAGGTACAAAAAGGAGATACCGGTAACTAAGGAACAAACATGAAGAGGAATATTAAATGTTTTTATATTTAATAAAAGAAACCCAAAAGCTCCACATAGAGCGATTTTGTATAGTCTGCCAATCCATGCTGGCTGGGAATCTTGGATGTTGCAGCTTTAACACCTGGAGGCAAATGGTTGGGGAAGATTATTTAATAATATATCTTACATGAAATCATATATGTATGAATATTTCTGAGTTTATTTTAATCTTACTGTCTATTTCCTCTTTAAAGCAGAGGCTTTTTGATTGGTGTTCTTTGCTTATTTTATTTCAGAATATGTCAGCCTTCCCCAGTGTGATGCATTTCAGGTATGCAGGGATAGCAAAGCCCACAATTCTCAGATAGTGGCCAGTGGAGATGTATCCTAACAGATCAGCAGGCTACAATTGAGGTATCTTACATCTAGATTAACATCTCTTAAGCCTAGCAACTTTCAGACCTGTGGACTTCAACTCCCAGAATTCTCCAGCCAGCATGCACTAATCAAGACTTATTTTCCGCGTCAAATCACACAATTTGGCAAATTATTAATCTAAATATTAATGAAGTTTAAAATATCCCTCAGTTTCACGTTACTGTTGCCAAAGTAATTCCTTTTTGCCCTTACAATAACAACATCTAGTGTTGAGTTTGAAACACACCGTCAACCAGTAAGCCCAGGGAGTTACTGGGACTTAGCAGTTGCATTAAAGGTCATCTCTGCAATATTGTGTGCAAAATTTATTTGGTGCATTATTATTTTTAATGACAATTCAGGGCTCCCACATACTTTTAGATTAGTTATAGTATCTTAAATTCACCCTATAGATAGCTGATAACTATCTGTACCTTTCCAGAATGCTGTTTTCTTGGTATTTTTTTTTTTTTTTGTAAGCATACATCGCTTTGGTTTAGTTTGTTTGCATGGAATGAACATTTTACTGCCTGAAATTGTTCTGTTTACTTTACTGGCAATTTGAATGAATAGATACAGTAATATTGGAAGGGGTTCCTAGGTAAGTGGATAATTGAGCAAATGTGAGAAATATTCACACTTATGCAGAAACATGTGCAAAGGATTGTTACAACCCATAACAGTTTTTTTTTTAAGATAAACCTGTGCTTATTGCTTTTGTCTGTGCATGGTGTGTGCATTAGAGGTGGAAGGACAGTCAGTACAGCTCGAATTGACAAGAATTACATTCAAGACCAACAGCTATTTGACACCAGAAAAAATACTGATTTGACAAGTGACGGGTAGTTTTCATGGATGCAGTGCATTATTTACAGAGATCCATTTGCCAAGTCCTGTTATTTGCAATGTAATTACTCATGATAGATAAGTGCAGTGCAAAATCTTTTTTGCCCCTACTTTCCTTTTAATAAATAGGTTATGTTAAAAAAAAGTTTTCTATCTACTGACAGGGGCAATCAAGTTGAATGCATCTTTGTAAGCCTTTTCTCAGGGAATGAAACTGCAAAAAAAAAAAGAGGAAAAGATGCTTTACTTTCTCCAATACTTTTTTGAATTAGGCTGTTCTGAGCTTCAGGTCACGGTGACTTTGAGTTACCCTTTCATATATGCTCCTCGGTCAACATTGAAGGGCCATGAATTAAGGTGCCTATCCTTTAGACTGGCTAGACCCCACATCACCTTTCCCCCTGCATCTGAGTGCACTATTCTACAAAAAGAAGTCAAGCTTTCAAAGGTTTTATAGGTGTGCATGTATCTTAATGTTACACTATATTACAGTAACGAAGGACAAACATTATGTGTTATCATCACAGTTATGGTGCAGCTTGTTACCAGGTGGGTAACAAATCACAGATGTGACGAGGCACAAATAAGGAGTGTGTTTGTTTTTAAAGTGCTAGTGTTTTAAAAATACATTCTCTGTTCTTCTTGATTCCACCTTTGTCACAACATTAACATAAAGTGCTTTGTAATACCAGCAAAATGAAAGGAAATAGTAGGAATTATAAATCCAAGCTGGTGTAGCTGTGTGTGTTTTTGTCAGAAACGACCTGTTTCAGAATAAAATGAAGATGTGTTAAGTTCATGGCCTTTAGTCTCTTGATATTTATACCCTCCTTCCTACTGTTAAATTCCAGAAGTTCCTATCTTGATGGATACCACTCCAGATGGCAGGAGGATCATTCCTTGGAAATAACATTTTTTTTGCATATTTATGTATTTATAACTTGCATATTTTTGCATTCTACATTATTTAAGTGCAAAATGTGGTAGAAATAAACTTGTTGCTTAGTGAACAGGTTGGGTATAACTCACTTCCCCTCCCTTCTCAATGATGTGCAAATAATTCAGGGAGAAGAAATGGAATATCTTTCCAATATTACTTAATTTCTTTTGTGCTGGAATTGTTCTCAAAGCTAATATGGATTCTTGGTTCAGGCTACCATTTCTGGCTTTTTTGTTGTTGTTTTGCCGCTGTTTCTTAGTTCCCCAACTGTTGACGTTTGGGTGATACCTTCCAAGGATACCTTTCTCCAACACACAAAAGATTAGATCCACCTGATTTATTTATTTTCAAGAATACATAAAAACATCCATTCATAAAAAAGTATGAAAATCTCTTTTTTAAACATCTTACCATATTTAAGTTTGAAAACTATCTTCCTAATCCCAAGTTAAAAACTACATCCCTGATCTCGGATTTTGTATGACTTTTTAGCAGAGTCAGTTTGTGTTTTTTTACATATAACTTTGAAGGGATATTTTGGATTTAGTACAAGTGGTGCAACTCACCCTGCTGATTGTTTTAAAAATAAAAAAATAGATTTTTAATGCATCTAGAAATACAGAGAGAAATGTTTAAAAGTTTATTTCTCAATTCACTGCATTTGTGATTTAATAAGCCTACCCGAGCCCTGTTCGTCTTCAGACCTTGTATTCATCAGAGAAAAAGGCATGGATGGGGGATGTTTGGAATAGTTACCTTTAAGCATAAAGTGTTGCGTTTCTGATCACATCTACCATTTGTTCTAGTATTTGACTATAGATGTCTAGATCACTTTAAGATGACAATGCAATTCAGATACTGGTATTGCCATAAAAGAGGTCTATGTTAAAGGAGTGAATGAATGGAAGAATTGGTCACACTGACTTCTGTAAAGGAAGTTGAAAGGAGATCAATTTATGATCAAGATGTGCACAAACTTCATTTTACTTAATGACTGTCGTGTGGTTGGAGTCAGAATTTGGAGTAGATTCAGAGGAGGTATTATCCTTAATCCCATTTCAAGACATCCTTCTGATTTTTACAAAACAGGTGGCTTGTTCAGTCAAAAGTTCATGCCATGCAGAATCTTTTCTTGGTGTGTCGAGTGCAAAGGCATTCCTGTCAGTTGTTAGTCAACATTCTGCAGCCCTGATCAGATATTTTGATCATGTTTGTTACTATGTCCTCTTCCTCCTCCACCACCACCTGGTAATATGTGAACCTCAGGTGAAATATGATTATCTAATTTGATAGTTTCCTGGTTACCATGGGTTCTTCCAGTGATATTTTCCATGGAATAAAGGCAATTTTGCCCTAAAAGCTTGTGTGTAGAGGACAAAGCAGCAGTTGCTAAGCGGTCCTTCTCTGTTTTACAAACATTATCTCGTTGCCTTATATAGCCTCTCTGAGAAATGCTGTATTTGGGGCTAGTATGTCCTGAAGAGGCTTTTGGAGGACTTGAGTCATAGAGCAACTGGCCTTCATCATCTGTGTCAGCATCGATAAATTTATGAATGCCAGCATCATGGAAGTTCATAACAATCGGTGCCTGCTTCTCGGGTGACTTTGTAGGGGTTCTAGCACTTGCAGTCGTATAGACAGAAGTTTCTGGACTCATCAGAGACCGATCAGAATATCCAGAACTATCTGTGGCAGCCCCTGTAGCTCCCCTGTTCTTGATGGGATCTGGGTATATTCTTAGGACATTTGAAGCTGCTGACCCTACAGCATCCTCTTCCATAAAATTAACCTTTAGAGATCTCAGTTTTAGAGGGTTAATGAGTTTTATTGAACTTTTGGGGCTCTCTATGAAAAAGGTAGAGCAATGGCGACTTTCCAGATTTGGTTTTATTTCCATGAATTTGGACCCACTTCCTTCCAGTCTATATGGGTCCTGAAGGGGAAGTTTCCCACCTTTGCTGGTCAGTGTAGTGAGAGGGCTATGAGAATATCTCCCAGCTTCGGGAAATTCAGTCATGCAGCTTATGTAACTGTCAATGCTCGACATGCTTCTCATATCAATTATTCCATCTGCCCGAGTAGTCAACAAAGGGACCATTGGGCCAGGAATGGCCTCCATTTCTAGTTCTTCTTTTTGCTTACTGGGTTGAGCTGTCTCCTTTAAATTGAGATTTGGCTGTGACTGAGCTTTACTCATTTTGTTGTACATGTCTTCCAGTTGCTGGACGTTCAGATGCTGAGGACTGGAGGAAGACCTAGCTTTTTCAGGTGAACCTTGTTCCTTTGTCTCCAAAGATTTATTGGAGCTAGTTTCAGAGATTGATCTTTTGGCCCATTTCCATTTGCTTGGGGATAAATGATTGTCCTGAACTTTATCCTTTTTGCCTGCATTTTCTCCCTTCTTTTCAACAACGATGTCCATCAATTCTATGCTACGTGGAAAAGCATCCTTCAAATTCATGGACACAATGCTTCCATTCCTTTTGGCTCTTTCAAGGGCTTCCCTACGCTTAATGGCTTTTTCCTGCCTCTTCTGTTCTTTGTAGAACTCTGAAAAGTTATTTACAATGATTGGGATTGGAAGGGCAATCACTAAGACTCCAGCAATACAGCATAACCCACCAACAATCTTACCTAAAAGGGTCTTAGGATAGATGTCTCCGTAACCAACAGTTGTCATAGTTATTGTGGCCCACCAGAAGGAGGCTGGTATGCTCTTGAATTTTGTATCCTCCTCATCTTTTTCTGCAAAAAACACTAAGCTTGAAAAGATCATAATGCCCATGGCCAAAAACAAAATAAGTAATCCAAGTTCATTGTAGCTTCTCCTCAATGTAAATCCCAGAGATTGCAAACCAGTTGAATGCCTGGCCAATTTTAGAATACGGAGTATCCTCATGATACGAAATATCTGGACTACCCTCCGGACATTTTGGAACTGAAGTACACTTTTGTTGGATTCTGTGAGGAAGATGGTGACATAATAGGGCAAGATTGCTAACAAGTCAATGGCGTTCAGGGGTCCTTTGAAAAATTTCCATTTCTTAGGAGAAGAGAGGAAACGCAAAACATATTCCATTGTAAACCATGCGATGCACACCGCCTCTACGTGGGCTAGCTGCGGGTTATCTGAAGGATTTCCGTACTCATCTGTGTCCTGAAGCTCAGGAAGAGTGTTTAGAGACAAGGCAATTGTAGAGAGCACAATGAACATGATGGAGATAATGGCCAAAATCTGCAAAAGAAAGGAGAAAATTAGTCAGTACCACAAAGAAATCACATGGCATCTTACATTTGCTATATTTTTTCAAAGAAAAAAAATGGCTTCATACAAATCGATGAAGTAAGGATGCGTCCATGAAATATGGTGACAGGTCCATGACAGGCTTGTGAAGACCTGTCTTATGAAATCAAATCCAAGGCCCAAAACAAATCATCAAGGCTTATTGTTGTGTTTCTTAAACTGTTGGTGAAACTCTTTAGAATCAGATTCAGAATAGAGCTGGAAGGGACCTTGGAGGTCTTCTAGTTCAGCCCCCTGCTCAAGCAGGAGATCCTATACCCATGATGGCAAACCTATGGCAAGTGTGCCACAGGTGGCACACGGAGGCTTCTCTGCTGGCACACAAGCCCCAGCTGAGCTCCACCAAGCATGCGCACACGATACAAGCTATCGATATACATGCAACAGGAAGTGCCTCATAGGAACAGATAGAGGTAAATCCTAGAGAGGCAGGAAATGCATCACTGAACAATGGAGATGAATGCTAAAGGGAATAAAGCTGCATACAAGGCTGACATAACTCCTGTAACAGTGTAGGCATGCACGGGGGGGCATGGGGGGGTGCGGCCCGCCGTGCCCCAGTTATGGTCCCAGGAGGCTTCAGGGAGGCCTGCTAGGCCCAAAATGGGGCACAGGGTGGGACGCACAGATGCACAGGGGAGCCGGGGGGCACAAATGCATTGTATTATGGGTGTGGGCACAGGTGCACACGCTTTCGGCACGCGAGGACAAAAAGGTTAGCCATCACTGTCCTATACCATTTCAGAGAAGTGACCTTCCAATCTCTTCTAACTCCCCCTAAAGAATATTGACATTTCCCCCAACAAAGGTATTTATACATCTCAGAAAGGCAGGAGAAAGGCAGGTAGTCCTCGATTTACAACAGTTTAGTTACAGTTTAAAGTTTAAAGTTACACTTGAAAAAAGTGACATCACTATTTTCCACACTTTCACACTATTGAAGCATCCCCATGGTCATGGGATTTACATTTGGATGCTTGACAACTGGTTCATACTTATGATGGTTGCAGGGTCATGTGATCACTTTTTGCAACCTTATGATAAGCAAAATCAATGGAGAAACCAGATTCACTTAACAACCGTGTTACTAATTTAATAACTGCCATGATTGACTTAACAACTGTGGCAAAAAAAAGTTGTAAAATGGAGTAAAACTCACTTAACAAATTTCTCACTTAGCAATATAAATTCTGGGCTCAATTGTGGCTGTAAATCGAGGACTACCTGTAATGCATAAGTAACAGAGGATGTAAGCATATCTATATCTATATCTATATCTATATCTATATCTATATCTATATCTATATCTATATCTATATCTATATCTATAT